GTGCCCTGTGATGGACTGGCGTCCTGTCAAGGCTGTGTCCTGCCTTGTGCCCCTTTCTTGCCAAGAGAGAAGCCAACTCTCCCACAGCCCAGAACAGGACAAAGCAGTCTGAAAATGGGTGGTGCAGGAACTCAGACACATTTGAATAAAAGCAAGATCCGCATTCCAGCAACAAACTTGCATGTTTCCCATATTCTGCACATGTTCCTTCAGTGCTAAGAGCAATGTAAACCCCCAGTCCTGGTGCAGCACTGTAGAGCTGTGAGTCAGATTCATTCTAAAGCTGTGATTCTTAACCTGGGGTGTCAGATGCACTCTCTGGAGATGTTAGGCATGCCAGATTTCTTTAAGAAGATAAATCAACGAAAACATAAATGAAGCACAGGCACATAACGACAACTTCTTTGTTTCATCAAACCTAGGTATTATAAGGTAACCTTTAAAAAATGTGCAATTATTCATGTATTCTTAATTTTACTGCAAAATTAAAAGATTTCTCTCTGTTTCAGTCTGTAGTTCTGACGTATGTTAGATTTACAGGACTCTCTTACTTCAACACATTTTGTTGAGGGGCACAAGAACATATTATGAGACCCAAAGGGGTGCAGGTTCCAGTAAAGATTAAGAGCCACTGCTCTAAGGTTCTTACGTTCTGAAGCAGGAACTCCACAACAGCAATCTGGCCATGAGCTGCTGCCCACATCAGAGGAGTGAAGCCTTCTTCGTCCTGAAGGTTAATTACGGTTTCTAGGTAGACAATTTAAAATTTAAAATCACTACTAAATACTAAACCAAAAGGAAGCAATTGAGTGAAAAAGAAAATCAATGACTTCTAACAATAGAACATTACAGAGTACCCCCTACAATGGCACAATACAAGCCTCACACAACTTAGATAACACCTAAACACATCATAATACTATAACATGTATTAGGGCATTAAGCCATTATATGTAAGAAAAGCCTTTTAATTATTTTCCCCCCTTTTCATAATCCACAACAATTATTCATGGGTTTATGCGAGTCAAGAGTCTGTAATGAACTTGCCCACAATTTGCTTCAGTTGCTATAGAAACAGAGCAAAACAGATGTCAGCCAAAGCTCTTGTATCCTATGATTTCTCTATCTGATAACACTGAAGAGTACCATGTTAAAAAGGACATGAGTGAGTGAAAAAATCTCGCCACACACCTTGCTCAATCCTGCTTGCCAGGAACACCATTTCTCCTTGAGCTGCAAGCTGGTGAATGGACAATGCTAGAACACAAAAGCATATTCAAAGCATCAGTTAAGAAGGGTATTTTAAAATACTGCATGTTTAAAACATTAAAACATTTCTTAATCAATTTAAGCAGTACTTGTTTTTTGTTTCACACAACTTCAGCTTTTTTTTTCTCAAACTCTGTCAGGCCCCCAGTCATGTGATAAAAACGCAGGATACTCACAGTGCACCAGCAAAGGAGTGGAGGAAACTTCATTCCCACGGTGCTTGTTAGTGAGAGTTGTGGACTGCTTAATGGGAGAGAAGTGTTTGGTGGTGGATGGCGTGTACACGTGTCGCACCTGGATTCCAGGTGATGGCGACGTTTGAATGTTGCACTCCGCTGGGAAGAGAAAAAATAAGTTTAGTGATGCAGCTGACATAACCACACTACATTAATCATTCAGCAGTGTTCCACTAGAGCACATTCTTCAATACTACAGAGGAATTTGGCCAGCATCCATATCACCCTGCGACTCATAGCTGGCAGCCCAGTGAAGTTAAGCAGATATGAGCCTGGTCAGTACCTGTATGAGAGACCTCCTGGGGAAAAACTAAGGTTGCTGCTGGAAGAGGTGTTAGTGGGGCCAGTGGGGGGCACTCACCCTGCAGTCTGTGTGGGTCATAATGCCCCAGTATAGTGATGGGGACACTATACTGTAAACAGGTGCTGTCCTTCGGATGAGACATAAAACCGAGGTCCTGACTCTCTGTGGTCATTAAAAATCCCAGGGTGTTTCTCAAAAAGAGTAGGGGTGTAACCCCGGCGTCCTGGCCAAATTTCCCATTGGCCCTTACCAATCATGGCCTCCTAATATCCCCATCTATGAATTGGCTTCATTACTCTCTGCTCTCCTCCCCACTAATAGCTGATGTGTGGTGAGCGTTCTGGCGCACTATGGCTGCCATTGCATCATCCAGGTGGATGCTGCACATTGGTGGTTGTGGAGGGGAGACCCCATTACCTGTAAAGTGTTTGAGTGGAGTGTCCAGAAAAGCGCTAAGTGTAAGCAATTATTATTATTATTATTATTATTAATGCCCCAGTAGAGTGACAGGGACACTCTACTGTTAAAAGGTGACGTCCTTCGAATGAGACGTAAAACTGAGGTCCTGACTCTCTAAATCATTAAAAATCCCAGGGTGTCTCTTCAAAAGTATAGGGTTGTTACTCTGGTATTTCCCATTGGCCTTTACCAATCATGGCCTCCTAATATTTCCCATCTATGAACTGCCTTCATCACTCTGTTCTCCTCCCCACTGACAGCTGTGTGGTGAGCGTACTGGCGCACCTCATCCAGGTTGGGCTGCACAATGGTAGTGGTGGAGGGGAGTCCACATTATCTGTAAAGCGCTTTGAGTGTTGTGTCCAGAAAAGTGCTATATATGTGTAAGGGTTTTTATTTTATTTTAATTGAGGCACTACATGACGAGAAAAGAGAGAAAGGAATGATTTGTAGGATAGTACAGTTGACCCGAAAAGGTAAATTCTCTGGGGAATCTCGTTACAGATGTCAGAAGATTGAATGGCGCAGACGTACCTTTAAATAAGACCGACGCCACCTCCAGATCCGAGTTCACCTGGTCCTGGATGTTCTTACTGTCCTCCTCGTTCAGGGACTTGACAAAGCGCGAGCAGACGTTCATGTCAAAGCGGTTGGGCAGAATGAACTTTATCCCCATGGCAACGTTCTGCGAGCCCCCCTCCTCTCCGCCTCCGCCCCCCTGGTGCTCCCCTTTGATGCTGCTCATGTCCTGCAGGATGCAGATGTCCTCCATCTCCTCTGTGACCAGTTGGCACTCTGCACTCTGATCCTCCATTGAATTAATCGTCCTTTACATAGTCCTCTCAGACACAACTGAGCCCCACACCCCGACCTGCATTACAGAGCTCAGGGTTCCGCTGATAAGACTGGAAGCCTGATGAAAAACCAAACATAAATCAGAGGTTAATGCCAGTGAATACAAGACAGATCTGGTGGTGTTACATAGGAAAAGATTCACATATTCGAAATCTGTTTGTACCTCTTTAATAAATCTAAATGACACTGTGACTCCTAGTCCAGTACTTGGTAGCACAGACATTTTAATGGTTCACAGTGTAGCCAAATATCTTTAAAAAACTGCACAGAGGTAATAAATTGCCAAGTGAAAACAATGAAAGGGTCTTTGAAAATGGATACTTCGCTGCTGTGGAACACCGTGGCCTTTTTTTCCATTTTATTTTATTTTTCACAATTAGCAAAAGAAGAAAAAATCATCTTAGATGTACATACACGTTTATGTTAATGTGTGCTGAGGGGACGAAATGTGGTGGACTAGAACCAAAGACACTCCATTACTAAACATGCATTACAAAACCTTCCAATCAGCCATATCTCCCTGCTACTCACACCTGGCAGCCCACTGAAGCTAAGCAGGTGTGAGCCTGGTCAGTACCTGGATAGGAGACCTCCTGGGAAAAACTAATGTTGTTGCTGGAAGAGGTGTTAGTGGGGCCAGCAGGGGGCGCTCACCCTGTGGTCTATGTGGGTCCTAATGCCCCAGAATAGTGACTGGGACATTATACTGTAAACAGGTGCTATCCTTTGGATGAGATGTAAAACCGAGGTCCTGACTCTCTGTGGTCATTAAAAATCCCAGGGCGTTTCTCGAAAAGAGTAGGGGTGTAACCCCAGTGTCCTGGCCAAATTTCCCATTTGGCGCTTACCAATTATGGCCTCCTAATAATCCCCATCTATGAACTGGCTTCATTACTCTGCTCTGCTCTCCTCCCCACTGATAGCTGGTGTGTGGTGAGCATTCTGGCCCAGGTGGATGCTGCACATTGGTGGTGGTGGAGGGGAGTCCCCATTACCTGTAAAGCGCTTTGAGTGGAGTGTCCAGAAAAGTGCTATATAAGTGTAAGCAATTATTAATTATTATTATCAGTTGAATACACTGAGACATAAAGGTTCCGTTAAAAGGGTTAAATTGGGAAGTTGCCGAATGTAACGTGGTGCAAAAGCGTTTTATCACAGAAGGAGCAGGAATTAGTGAAAAGAGTAAATTGATTGGCTGTGGCCTAATTAAAGGCTTCACACTAGACCCATTTCTGTCTCTTCTGATTTTACACTAAGTCCTGTTGCTGTACAGGGAACATGGTGAATTACAGAGCATATATAGATATATGTACTATAAACTTCACCAATGTCACAGCATCAGTATACTACTTACAGTAAGTAACAGTATCGCATTCTTGTTTACTCTCCGTTCTTTCTTTGGAGGTGTCAATCTCCTGTCTTGGACACCGGCAACAAGTTTGAATACACATCAGACGGCCTCATGAGAGTAAGCACAGCTATTTATATTTTATAACAACAACGCTGTATGAATGTGATCGTACGCGTAGCCCCGGAAAAGCAAAATAAAACCAACGAATATTCAATGCACTTATAATCGTACATCTCTAAAAAAAGCCCGAAGCAGACTACGGAGAAAATAAACACCCCAGCAAATTCTCCACAATATAAATAACTAGAGATACGGCATTTAAACCCCGAAAAACAACAATTGAATATTTGTAAATTCTAATCGGCACCATCAACCTACCAGTGCTCTTCAATGTAACATTTTCATAAATTACGGTCTCTCGCTTTTGTTGTTACAGGAAAACCGAAGCTGTTTGTGTCACAACCATACATTCAGAGAGCAAAGCTTATTGTAACGCTTGACACCTCCGTGCAATCAATAAAGTTTATTGAAGGTTGAAACAGGAAGTGTACTTCATCCAAAATGGCTGCCCCCTATCGACACCGTAACAACGTGATTGCTTCTTGATGTTCAACAAATTTATTATTTTTAACGATCTGCTTCATCAAATATTTACGTTCGCTTTTTGGAATACAATATCTTAAGACGCTTGGTCACTTTTCCTTCCTAAACGTAGAAAGTAAGGTAAGGACCTTTTTGAGGTAGGATAACTAGACTGCTGCCGCTTGCTAGGTGAACACGCTTGGAATAAATGATCCCTGTGAGGTCTAAAGCATTTGTCAATTTTTGCTTTAAAAAGTAAAGGGTTGATATGTGCTTGAAGTATATGGTAAAACGCAGGAAAAAACGGGAGCGAAATTATTGTAAAGATCTACTTCACGCATTACATCCCATTTGTTTCCAGTGCAGACTTAAAAAAAATGTTTTAATAATTTTCTCAGTATCGATCACGCCATCCATTTTATACACACTGATAATGAGTTGTAAATTGTCTACCGTTTTGTTGTAAAATACATAGTACGGTAATTGCAATAAGGTTGATCAGTTCTGTGATTCAAATTAATTAAGGGATCATTTTTGTAGCTATCATGTATTTTGGACTCTGCGCAATTTACATCTCGTTCAAAGCTTATAAATGTATGTCTTACACATTTTAAGCATAGTTTAGGTTTAGATTGTTTTTGGCACATTGCTTCATAGTTGGGATGTCACGCTAATTTTTGTACATCGCACCATGACAGGGGGTTTATATCTGATATGTGAAATATATACATACCATACACATGGAGTCTCAGCACTGCTGGCGTTTGTAAAAAAGCACGTTGCAGAACATGAAGATTAAGGAAAAACATTTGTAAGAATAAACATGTTTGCTAGAATAAAAATTCAGACTGACAGCATCGTTAATCCTTTCAGCTCTAGAGTTCTAGTTTTGTTTTGCAGGTTAGTCCTGGGAATTTTGAGGATTTCAGCACAGAGTAAACCATGTCCTCTTTTAAACCTACACGAATTCAATCCTACCCCAAGCTTGGAGAGAAAGTCACCCAAGACACGTTATATTGGAAGAATTATAAGGTATAAGTCTGATAGAAAAAGCTTACTAAAACACTTTAAACTGTATTTATATGGTAGACTTTTGCAGATGCTGTAAATCTCTTTTACTGATCCAGCAATGTTACAGTTTGTTTATGTGTAATTTAATACGTTTAGTTGTACTTGCCTAGAGTTTCTTGATTGTTATGGAGAGAAGGTAGGAGTCATTTTATTTCTTATGTAGACCATGTTTCTGATGTGAAGGCTGCAAATACTAAATAGTCAGCAATGATAAGGAATAAAATAATACATTAATGCCCTGTTTATTTTTTCAAAGATCTTCTGTCTACCCATGGTCATTATATCCTAGAACATAGTATCCTAATTTTCCATCTTGTGTAGAAGCCCTAAATTACAAGGAGATTGGAGCTTGGGATTTTCCAGAATTTCCAAAGATAATTGAAAGTCCTTAGGTTCATTGTGTTGCAGTATCGAGAATCACAATCTTTTGTCACTATATAGCTTTCTTTGTGGAAATGAATGAAATGAAATATATTTAAATTGAATGACAGACATATCTGTTGCTTTTTCCTTTGTTTATATTTGGAAACAAAATTCAGCAGCTGCCAATTTGAACATATGGAATTCTTCTCTCCAGTATTCCCCAATGGAATATTGTGCTTGCATTTGATGGAATTTTCCAAGATTTTGGGAAGCTTTTCCTGGAATCTGTGTTAGCACTGTTAGCACAGTGGCTAGTAGTTTTGTTTTTTCAGTTTGTTTTATTTTATTGTCTTTTGGCACTAGTGAAATGCAGTTTTAAATTGCTCTTGTCATATCTCACTCCTTCTGCTGGTCACAGTTTCAACATATAACCTACAAAACCAGATGCATGTGAAATATTTTCTGTAATTTTCTGTAATATATAAAAATCCAATTCCTAGAGAAAGAATCCTATTCACTTTTGTTCTCTCTAACAAATTGTGTTACAGACTCCAGTTCAGATAAAGGAATTTGGGGCAATTACAAGGATAGATTTCTCTCCTCAGTCCCCATACAATTATGCTGTCACAGCATCTACAAGAGTAAGTGCTTCGTGTTGAAGGTGTATTAATGGCACTAACATTACCCCGATCGTTTTGAATATTGCCTGTCAGCATTTTTTCATCCCTCGGTTACATTTTTTAATTTAAAAATCACATTATAGATGGAACATGAGTGCTATAAGTAGGTAATTCAGTGTTTAAAGTCTCATTACCTGATAATGAGAAATACTTTTTTTCCTAGTGTTATATCAATTATAGGATATGTTTACTTAATTTAAGACTTACATTTCTCATGCTCATCTAAGTGTACATTTGAGATGAATGCTGTAGTAGGTAGAGCGGATTTTATTATTGCTATTATAAATATTGTGTATGACATATTTGATATTATGGATAAATATGTTTGTTTTAAAGCACCCACAAAGAAGTGGCTGATTTGACTTATTATCTCTTTTAATTTGTAGATCCACATTTACGGGCAGTACTCACAGGAGCCTATCAAAACCTTCTCGCGGTTTAAAGACACAGCCTACAGTGGTACATACCGATCAGATGGGCAGCTGCTTGTGGCAGGGAGTGAAGACTCGGTAGTGAGACTCTTTGATATCAGTGGCAGAGTCGCACTCAGGCAGTTTTCTGGGCACTCCAAGTAAGTATCTGTGTGTTTGTTTTGGTTGTTTGCTATTTTGTGGTACATTGACTTAAAAAATAATGAACTTCATTGGAATGTGTGATAACTGAACTGTTTTAACAACTCTAATTGCTGGTTCTTAAGATTTGTGGGCTCTTATGCATTAAGTGATTCTGTTGTTGGCGTGCTGTTACAAGCTTGTTTATCTGCAAATAACATACATGAGCCATTTCAGTCTAGGTTCAGACTGATGTATGGCCCAGAAACAGCTTTTGCTAGGGCAACTAATGATTTCCTGGGGATTGCTGACCCTGCTTTTTTCTCCATTCTTGCCTTGCTGGATCTCAGTGCTGCCTTGGATATTGTTGGCTGTACAGTCTTGCTGAACAGCTGTGCGAGATGTTTTCGATTTACCGGAACTGCTTTGTCATGGCTTGACGGTGATCAATCGCGCTATCTGCCTTATCACACAGCTTAGATGATGTTGAAAAATGGATACAGGAAAATTCATGATATGAGCTTTGAAAAGGACACTGTTAAATGAAAAGAGCAAAGCTCTGCTTTATTGTCCTTCATTATTAGCTTTTTAGCTCTGTCAACTTTGGTTTGACTATTGATGGTATTCGAATCAACGTTCATACTTAGGAATCATGGTGATTCAAGCCTTACATTTGAAACCTCTGTTGCACTGTTTTTTTTCATCATTATAGCATTGCACACATCTAATTGTGTGTCCCACTCTGATGCAGATATGCTAATATATTTTTTAGTCTTTTGTATGCTTGAGTGTACAGTGCTTGCTGATGGACATGTTCTTAAGTTGCAAAATGTTAACTTCAGTTGCTTGGTCTTACATAATACTAGATGTACAAATATATATCTGCTGTCTTGACTTCGTGGCACTGGCTCCCTATGGTTTTAGAATAAAGATTCACAAATCTACTACTCACCTTTAAAGGCAAAATTTGTCTAGCTTCTGACTGCATCAGTAATTTCTTATTTCCCTAGACACCTACATGTCATTTGTGCTGTTTGAATGCTAGCACTTAAATAATGCTCTGAGCTGGCATGAATGCTGGCAAAATAAAGCTCTTAGCCGTGGGAGACTTTACGTTCTTTTCTGTTATTCTAAAGCTATGAAATTATTTCAAAGTCCATATCTTTTTTTGTAAAACATTTATTTTTTTAACTTTTAAAAATTGTATACACTTTCTCTTAATTTTGTTATATGTGCGGCATTAATGTCTGCTTATATGTGTCTCAGTTGATTTTATCTGTGCTTTGTTTTGTTGCAAAACACTTAAAGGGGTATGTAAAAAAAGGATTATTATTTTTTATCACTCATGTTAAGGGATTATAGGGGTATGCAAAGTAATGTGCGGTCTCATTGTGTGGAAGACATAGATCAAAATGAAAGGAACTGGAGGAGATAATTCTGGTAAGAAATGTGAAAAGAACTTGAGGGCTGGTGGTCTGCAGGGTTATGCCATTCTTTCACATTTTTCTAGAGATGGATAAATTCATGTCCTAGAGTGTATGTCTTTTGCAGAGCTATTATTGCAATACTTAGATCTGATGCTAAATTTATTAGTCCAAATTTGTGGCAGACAAATTTCTTAGCTCCTAAGCTTTTGCTTAGAAGTACAGTTTTAATACAGTAATCTAGTAAAGACTATCACATCTGTGTGCTTTTATTGTGCAGGTCAGTTCACGTAACAGACTTCACATCAGACAAGTTTAGAATATTATCAGGATCAGATGACTACACCTGCCGATTGTGGGACATACCAAACTCAACAGAACTGATCTCCTACAAGGAACATACTGACTATGTGCGCTGTGGGACAACAAGTAAACTGAACCCAGACCTTTTTATCACAGGTAAGACCAATTCCATTGTAACCACAAGGAAAAGGGGGAAAGATTTTCAAGTAATTCTTGATTTATGCTTTATTTGTGCATTTCTGGTTTAAATTTTAAAAACCTAATTCGGTGCAAAGAATTACAAATTCAACATTGTTAATTTAAAGAGGGGAGTTGTGTCAGTTTTCATTGGCTTTAAGGAAACAAATAAAGGTTAATTCCACACTGAAAAGTAGAAAGTAAAACCGTATTTCAGCTGTTAAGCTTTCTTAAGGTGTTAAGGATGGCTTAACAGTCAATGTTTTTTCTTTGTTTTTCCCTTTTGTTTTGTTTTCAAGAATGAACAACAAAAAATAAACAACACAAAAATAAATTGGATAACGAGAGCTTACAGACAAAATAAGCGAAAAGTGGGGCAACATATTTCAAAGACATTTGACATTTCACAGATTTTGTGTTAGTAAAAAACTAGCCATAATTCCTCAAAAGTACAGTTTCTTGAAATGAATACAACCCAGTGTGATCTAATGCCAAGTTGGCACTGCTTCTGACACCCATAAGCACTGATTTCTATGAAGCTATTAACTTTCCCATATGCCCTCTGGATTAGTTGTTTATTAGCATACACTGTGATGCCTTCTGTAGTTGTACGCAGGGCTGTAGTTGTGCTGTGTTGTACTGGTTGCAGAATATCACGTCTGCTCCATGTCAAGCAAGAAATACAAATCTGGTGTCTTTATTTAGTGCTTGCATGTTATTTGTGAGACTCAAAGAGCTCTGCAAAAAGTCACATCAAGAATGGGCAAGGAAAAAAGTTTTGTAACACTAAGATAAAAGTAACAAGTATTTTTAAAAAATGTCTGAAGTTGATGTGCTACTAATGCATACTTAAAGGACTTTACTGGATTTCAAGAATCTCTGAGCGGTAAAGAAGATTTTGCGATTGCTGAGAAGCAGAGCCTCTTGAGTTTTTGTTATAGCTAATGTCTTCCTTGTGTTCTCAGGTTCTTACGATCACACGGTGAAGGTGTTTGATGCACGGACCAACAAGAGTGTCATGACCATGGATCACAGTCAGCCAGTAGAGAGTGTCTTACTCTTCCCCTCTGGGGGCCTGCTGGTATCGGCAGGTAACTATGAAAGTGTGAAATGTACTGCCTTAGAATTTCAGCTGCAGCGTAAGGCACTTGACAGGAAAGCCAGTCTGGTCTTGTCATTTTATTAGAGATTTACCCCTCAAAAGCAATGTACCACAAGTATCAGGGTTCCTTTCAGGAGGAAAGTCTCTGTCCGCGTCCTTTCTTCTGTCTTTGTCTTGTACGAGGGATACAACTCAGTTTCTGATTGCTTTGGGCAAGCTTAAATGTTGGTAAGTTACTGAACTAATGAAAACATGTATCAGATTCTGTATGGTTGATTTTTTCAAGCGTTCTCTTAACAAGTCCAGACCATGTTCCGTTGGTTCCACTGGTCCAGACCATGACATTTCTCTGGTTATATTCTTAATTGAACAAACTAGAGCGCTGCACAGGCTTCTTTTTTTACCTGCTTCATCTTGTCCAAGTTAGTCTTGCCTTAGTGCATGACTTCAGTAGAGGGTTAGACAAGACCTGTGTGACTTACTGACTTTTGAGGGAAGAGTTTTGATGCTATAAAACACATTGCCACCACCTATTATGGAAAGTGATTGTCTGGTAGTCTTGATCAAACTCCATTATGTGCTTCTTGATTTATTAAGTTACTGAAATGAGCAACACAAGGAGTATAATCTCGTAAGAATATATTATCTGTTTGTAATTGCCTTTTTAAAATTCTGGAACCCCAGCCTTTCAATTGAGATGATTATAGCGATGCTGTATTTTATTTGTAGGTGGGCGATATGTAAAGGTCTGGGACATGCTGAAAGGAGGACAGCAGCTTGTCTCATTGAAGAATCATCATAAAACAGTAACCTGCCTGTGCCTGAGCTCCTCAGGACAGAGGCTGCTCTCGGGATCACTGGACAGGTGGGCGTGTATGGGTTGTTGTGGTGTTCTTAACTATGTACAGGAAATAAACTTTATTATTTATATCCCAGTTTTTATTTGTTGCATTTTGTTTCCATTAACTTGTTTGTGAAGTGACTGCAGTTTTAGTTAACATCCAGCAGATGGTGCAGATGACGCTGCGTTTTCCCCAACCGCATGAGCGTCAGTTTAAAACTGGGCATGATAGCAGATACAGAAACCTAAACAAATGTGTTGTGCCTGAAGGGACCCGTCACTTCATTCCTGAAATGCAGCATGTACATATATTATTTTTGCAATGTTAATGACCATTTCCTGTGTGTCATTCAGCTTGTGCTTTGTTTAGTGTTTATGTCCCTGCTGTTTGGTTGCAAGACACTGTCTTTTGACAAGTACATTTTTTAAGCCAAGGCGTTCAGTGCAAATCTTATTTTATTTTGTCTGTTGGTTCCACTTCTTAGCTTTATGTAGCTAGTCCATTCAAAATGATTTGCTGCTTTTATTTATGTAAGAGGCCAGACGGTGTTTTTCCTTTAAATTATTTATTTGTATAGTGGTAAAATCAGTTGCTCCTGACATTACGGAATGTGAATGTGAATTTCAGATTTACTGGAGTCTTTAGGTTTTGGGCTGTCTGTAATTTGAAAAGTGAACTTTTTGTTAAAAATAAACAATAGATAATCAAAACTCAGTAGAGGACCATTTAAATGTTATTAAGACTTCACATGAACATTTCAAAAATCTGTTAAGAATGTTCTGGAGTCAGTAAGACATTACCAAGAGCCAAATCAAAGGGCTTCCTCCTATGAATTTTTGTGTAAATACAGTCCATCAAATTATCCTTAATACCCATATCTGTTAAATAATAATTTTCCTGTTAATCGTAATGAAAGAAACACATTTAATAGACATCAAGTTAAAGTGAAAAAGAAGTTATATTATAATAAGATCATATAGTTGACATTTATGTAATGCTCATTAGATAGGGTAAAGAAAAGCATACCGTAAATCTGCTGTAACATATACTGTCATTCGTGACACAAATGGTTTTACAGGCAGTATGTGTCCTTTTTTCCAGGCATGTGAAAGTGTACAGCACAGCAACCTACAAAGCAGTGCACAGCTTTGACTATGCTGCTTCTGTTCTGAGCGTTGCCCTGGCAGTAAGTATATGTACCAACTCAAGACAGAAGAGATTTTTATTTTAAAATTTAAAGGCCATTGCTCTTCAGATAAGTCTAAATAAAAAAAACACATTGAGAAATTCACTAGTGTTAGCATTGGCCATTTTTCTAGATGGTTTTATATTATCTGAATACCATAATCATCCTCCTAACTGAATAAGGTGGCTTGGCACTCTTTCTCTGTTCTGTGTTTAAGATTTTGAAATGTTAGCATTTTTAAGTTCACACAGTAGCCATTTGTATACCAGTGTCTATAGTCATCTCATGTCACTCTTGGTGTTGTACTTGCTCCCAGCCTGAAGATGAAGCGATTGTTGTTGGGATGACCAATGGAGTGTTGAATGTGAAACACAGGAAGCACCCAGAGGAGAAACAGGAAGCAGCCAGTCGGAAGAGGCGACGGCCAGCATATCGTTTCTTTGTCAAGGGGAAAAATTACATGCCAAAGCAGGTTCTCTGACAATTGCCTAAAAGTTGACTGAATGGCTTTTCTGAATTACTTATTTTGAAAGAAAAGGATATTTTTTTAAATGGAAGGTGTCCTCACAACTGTATAAGCAGGATCTGTGAATTTTCCTAATTAGAAAATGCTCCCAACTGAAATAAATATCCACCGGTTTCTTACACATTGGAATGTGTTTTAAGCTGGTTAGCAACAAAATATTGTCCATTATTACTTTTGTTTTTAATTTAAAATTAAACATAGCAATACATCACCTTTTCACACTACAGTTTCTCCTTTTTCCCCATTCCATTACTCCCATTCCATTACTGAGCGTTTGTTTATTAAAGAGGTTGTTACTTTAATTGTCTCATTTGTTAGGTTCTTAGTCACAACGTCTTGTCATCTTTTTTTAGGATGATTTCTTGGTCAGCAAACCAGTCAAAATGCACTTGAAAAAGTATGACCAGCAACTGAAGAGCTTCCAGGTTTCAAAGGCTCTTGACACTGTTTTGGAGGTAAGTGGTCTTACATTTGTCTCATTTGTGTAGGGCAGACCTTGAGAGATCAATGGCAGTATTGAAAAGGAGAACAAGGTCAGATACTGTCTTCTCGGTTGGTTATGTTTTTTTGACTTTGTTGTATTGTTGTATTGGACTGAGCCATAAAACCAGTTTCCCCCGGGGGGTAATAAAGTGTGAATGGAAATTATTTGTCTCTTTGGATGGAGAAATTAAAGCGAACAAAACAGAATCATTGTGTGGTGTGATGGAAATAATATATTGTGTACAAAGCCACATGAGTCAGATTCTCAAGCTTTTCCTGTTGAGCACCATGAACTACACAGTCAACAGTGTGTATAAATACAAATCTCCTACTTTCTGGCTGTTCTGCTTACAAAAAGAATGTGCAGTGTGTTATTAAAATACTTATCAATCATTCAGTAAAGTCTTCAGAAGGCACACAGAATGAAATTATAGGCAGGCCCCTGAATTGTTTACTGTGAAACGCCGTGAGTTGTTTATTATATTGGCACTTGGCAATGATTAATGCACCTCTTGTTTCTGTCTGTGTGTGTTGTGTTCAGCGAAGGGTTCATATAAAGAGACCAGAGGTAACTGTGGCGGTGATTCAGGAGCTGAACCGCAGAGGCACTCTGAAAAATGCCCTCGCGGGCCGAGATGAGAAAAGCCTTACAAACCTACTCAACTTCTTGATCAGGTACAGGTTTTTCAATGGGACAGTGTGAGTGGTCATTACAGCATCATACTTCCGCCCTTACAGACTCTTTTTTTATCCCTGTAACTCCTTTTGCGTCACTCCACTATTTGTAGTATCTGCTCTGCTCACTTCCGACAGATAATACAGCGGTATTCTGCCTCGTTCTAGGCAGGCAGCGTTGTTGTAAATACCAGATACATCATGTAAGATGGCTTACTGTGGCCATGTACCAGTGAAAGGAGAGGCCATGGTGTCTGTATTCACTTATTCTTCTTTGTTTCATTTTCTGTTCGATTGCCATCTCCAGCCTTGCTCATGCCGTTAGACATTATCCCCTAACAGATTGCCTTCCCCTCTTGCATCCAAAAATGACAAAATGTGAAGTGGACTTTAATGAGAAATGAGAGGAACAGATATGCCTACTGGGCCCTTTATTTTCAACCAACCCTGTTTCACTCCACACATGCCGTTAGTGACTGAACAGACTTCTTTAGTAAACTCTTTCCAATACGTGGTTGTATGCCATTAACCAAGTGGTGGCACATCGTTGGGATTAGCGGAGACTGAGTCAGGGTGTCTTGGGGTTGGAGTGTTGTTTGTGTTGGAGCACCGTCAATCCATGCTAAGAACCTCAGCTGTAGATGTGGTGGAGTGCACCAAATGAAGTGCAATAGAAAAGCTCTTATTTGTCTCAAAAGAAGCTATCCACAGTTCTGTGTCCAAAAAATAAGTATTGATTCCAAATTCAAAACCGGTACTAAGTCTTTCTCATCATTTATTTGAGTTTTGTTACCACCAGTTCTGTACTCCCTCAACCTGTTCAAGTATGGGCCTTTAATAGTAATGTTTTCTATATGTCATGTTTTATTTTCAGGTATATGGTTGATCCAAGGTTTACCCCAGTTTTAGTGGATGCCGCAGAAATGGTTTTGGGTGAGTTTTTCACATGGTCTTTATTTGTACTATTAAAATTTAATGATTTGTTTCAGTTTCTGTGCATGAGGTGTTTGTAATATTGATGCTGCTCCCTTGATAAAGATGTGGTTCACTCTAAATATTTCATGCAGATGGGTGCAATTTGTTAACCCCTTCAGGGAAGGCACCATCTCCAGATTTTTATAATTTGTCTTTTTTAAGTAAGACTGTTATTATTTAAAAAAATGGGCATATTACTTGAAGTACGGAGACTGTTAAAATCTTACTATGCAGTTTCAGGCATTAAAACATTGTTAGTGTGTTTTTATTTTTATTCAGCTATAAGTTTTCAAAAAGGGAAACTCTCTTGCTTCAGCTTTACTAAAATACTTAACTTTTAATTCTTGTAAAACTGTTAATATTGCATACATTGCATACTCAGTTTAGTCCTCATTATCTTATATTGTGCACCACCGTTTCCATGTGCATCCATAAGGATGTGTATTTACAGTAAACAGTATTCACGTACAACATCCGTACAATAACATAGACGCTTGCCTGATTTCAAACAATATGATTAGAACAAACTGTGCCCTTATTATACTTAATAGAATATTGTCTTACAAGAAATGTACTTAAAGAATATATACATCTATAAATGTATGTAAAGGTATATATATTATAAATATATAACTAAAGAACATATATTATCTACAGAATTATAATAATTTCACACCTTGCGTCTGATGGTGCCATATATGACAACAAATGAAGACATTAAAAATAAAAGGCTGGAAAATCAGAATATATAAGTAAATAGTAATTACTTTTTTAGAAAGACAAAGAAACAAGGGCATGGGAGTGATCACAACACTCCAGAATTTTATTCTAGTTCTTACAGCAGCCTGTTGTAAAGTTGGGAAAACTGCATTGGAAAGAAAAGAAATGTGTATCGGCTCCAAGAGAAATGTATGTAGAAAGAAAGATGTAGGCATAAGGTTAAGAAAACAAGTGGTGAGATTTAGTTGAAGTATTAAACCAGTCACCTCTGATGGAGTGTTTTTTTTTTCAAACCTTGAAATTGAAGTCTTTAAAAAGAGGAATGTTCAACAGGCTCCAATGAAGTTGCTTGTGTTTCCAGAACAAAAATATTTAACCTAATGAGAGAAATTCTACGCTTCAAACATGAAGGAATTACACATTTCATTCCTGTTGTTCCTTTAATATCATGAACAGATTTAGGAAGAGGCTGACACAAGCTATTTATAGTCTAAAAATATTTTGGATTATGCTTTTCAGCTACAAATTAGCTTGGAGTAGTATGCATTTCTGGCATTCCTTGAAGCAGCTTCATATCATGGCTCAATAAAAAGCACAATCTCCACATTGTTTGAAATGTTTGAAATTGTATCGGCACCTTATTTGTTCTAATCCCATAGTATGTTTTTGAATCTCATCTTGAAGAAAGACATCTCATGTTCTGATGTTCTGATAAACTCTAGTTAGCATGGTAAAGCGTGTAATTGCAGTCCATGAACCTGTCAGAACACACACATTAATCCATTGACTACCAAAAGTCTTAAGTGTTGCATTGGAAGGTGCATTGAGAGGCACTGGGATTATAATTTAGTCATTTAAAAAAGTAATTAAACATGGATGTATCTTCCACTAAAATGACTCAGAGTAGTACTGGTCAAGGATCTTATGATGTCTGGCAAATGTTTCTGTGGTTCTCTGACCACTATGTAAATCTTTGCAAAGATGTGTTAATTTTGAGCAAACACTCCTGGGCAGTACTTTCTCTTCACAGCTTTCAGATGGCCAAATAATGGCAGCTTCTCACATCAAAAAGTCTTACAATGTGCACAACTGAAGAACCTGCTAGTAGATGTGCAGGGATTAGATTCCTTACAGCTTCCACTAACCGACATTGTGATGATGCACCTAGACTAGTTTGTAGACTAGTAGTGATTCATGAAGGAAAGCAAATGCTGTTTCCATAATCTTAGATTATGTTGTTCGACTGTGGAGAGTTGTTCTTCATGTGTTTAAGTATATTAAAAGTATCGCTGTGGTTTATTTTCTGTCCTGGCTGAAATGGATCACACTAATGATTTAAAGACTCTAGGAGTTTTAAATACTATTGATTTTAATGAGCTCTTGAAAGATAAACTTGTAAAAAGTGGACTCTCAATTGCCTGTTTTGATATTAGATTCCTCTGCTGTTCCACTGCATCTTAATGTCTTCAAAATAAACATGTAGGTCAGTTGATTCAATGGTAGCTTTGTCTATTTCACAAAAGATGTAGAAGATGCACTTAAATGTTTTCATATTAGTGCTTGGTGAAAGATGTATTGGTCTTGACTGACATTTTAGGATTTAAATGATGCCGGTTGAAAACTGCCAATCTTAAATGCTGACAATCAATATGTTTTTTTGTATTGTGTTTAGTAAGTGTATATTTACCTATGGAGTTTTTAGTAGCGTGTATCATATGTTTGAATGTGTGATTTGTATTAGTAGTTTCAAGGTACCTCAATGTACTTGTGGTGCTTCTGAAGGACCAATGTAGATTTAGAACTAGTCTAGAAATTTTGTAAGGTCCAGTTTTAACCTCCCTTTTTTCCCTGTTTGCTTAGAAATTTACAGGCATGTTGTGGGGCAGTCAGCACTGATAGACAAACAGTTCGTGAGGCTGCAGGAGACAATAGAGAAAGAGATTGACTACCAGGAGGAACTGGTGGAAGTCCTGGGAATGATTGACACCCTCGTTGCAGCAACAACCACCAGGAAAGAGGCAGCAACCTCCTGAATAAGAGCCGGGAACGTTCTGCATGGAGTGGAAAACAGTGGAAAGGTGGTGGCAGTTTGAAATCCAGAAGAAAACAATTACAGTTGAGTCTGCAGATACAAAATGATCCCCAACTGACAATGCATCAGCTCCAGCCATTGCACTTGGTGGTTTTCTGGAGGTTTGCAGAGTTTCTCAGAATCACCCCATGCAAAATATCTTAATCTTGAACAGTATGGAAGAAGGTAGCACATGCTGATCATGATGATACATCTTTAAATACTTTAAAGATTGGTTCTTTGAAGTGAACCCTCCCTGTAGTCAAAACCAATAATTAAAGGGCTGGATTTTGAATGAAAGGTCTGCCTAGACCTTTATCAAACAATGGGAATAATGAAGAGCTGTCCCATGTTTTTATACCTTGGAATTTTCTGCAGCCAAAATACACTTGATCAAACATTTGTCTGCCCAAAGTCTAGCTTCTACAGTGCCTTTCAGGTTTAGTGTGCATTCTGTTACAGAATGCAAATGTCTGTCTTCCATAAAATGTTTGTGAAAGTAAAGGTTTATATTAAAATTTCAAATAAATTTGTGTTGTGTTTTTAAGTCTTTTGTTTCTTAACATAGGTAAGGTGTTGTACATAACGGCACACAAAAGGGGTAGTGTCATGATGTGCTGAGATGGAGATATTCTTAGTTTCCATATCTTAAAGGAGTGGCAATACCTGGTCTTGGAGAGCCACAGTCCAGTTGGTCTTGTAGATTGCACTTAATGTATATCATCAATATCATAACACATGATGTTTGATCAATCAGTTAACTTAACAGGGTGTGCATTCTGCAATGGTGTCCTGCCTTGTACCTTAAGATTCCACATTAGGCTCCAGATTGATTTGGTTTTTATCAAGAATATGATGAATTCTGGATATGTATAAATATCTCTCCTGTACAGAAAATAATTTATTTATGAAGTCTGCATGTTGAAATGCACCAGTTCTTGATTACGGTAGTTTTTGTGAGTTTCATATACAGAACAAAGTATCATTTTACTGTATATTCTGTCAAAAGTCCACTATTTTATTAGAAAGGTTTATATTCATGTTGTTTCTAAGAGGAGCCGAGAAGGTTTGAATTTCCTTTACTTGGGTTCCTGTGAATCATTGAGTTCTAGAACTGTTAGTCACGATGAATGTAACGGAAATAAGGCCTGGGCATTAGAACAATACATAAAAAGATTCAATATGAGGAATGTGAAATGGGTTTTGAACAGTTGTTTAGTAACTATACAACTGACCAACAGATTCAGGTAAAACTGTTGAATCCACATATTTCCTGCAGTCTGTGAATTTGTGTTTGTTTTACAAAGATTGCAATATCAAGCACATAAATTGGAAGGTTTTGGTAGTACAATTCCAGGTCAACAGGATAATATTTCACTATATTAACCTGTATAGCATTGTTTCTGAAACTATCTTTTTATTTTCTATTGTAGAATGGTGAAGTGAAATTTGTCAATATAGTTGTGTACTAATGACATTTGTATTTCAGACTGGAAGATTAATATGGGACAGAATTATAGAATTTAAGCATTTGTTTCTCGGTAATATTTTGTGTACTTATTTATAATTTTAGAACAATTAAGCTGTGTTCAGTTCCCTTCAGATTTTTTTTGTGATTATGACTTCTGTAGAAGAATTAACTTGTCTATCAGTATTTAAGAATGACACAAAAACATGATTTAACATGTAAAACGCAGAACAAGCAGGGGGCTGAAAATTGTTGGATAAATGAGTACAATGCTATTATGGCACACATAAAAAAACATTCTGCTGACGTAAATGGTCTTTTCATTGTTGACTACAGTGGAAATGTTCTATTTCTCCAGCAGATGTCAATGTTGTACTCGGAATGAATGATTCACTTTTTAAGATTGGGTTCCCTGCAGTGCAAATGCATTCTCAGATTGCCAGGTTAATACACTCCACTTAGTTTTTTTAAGCCCTCCAGAAACATATTGAGTGCAGTCAAGCCACAGGAGCCTGGGTGGTTTAGAAGGTGAGGTCACAGATGGTATATTCTGCTTTAAAAATGTGTTGTAAAAATATGCATCTTAAAAACAGTTTTAAAATTATTCACTTAAATGCTATTTAAACTTTCAAAGCCCATATGTATCCAAGGAGACCAGGTATGTGTGTTCAATATACAAGCACATAATACATAGAGTAGAGTTGGGGTGCTGGTCTATGACAGACACTCTTAAACCAGGACAATCTCTGGTCAGCAGGTTAAATACCAGGGAAGACTGAAACTATACAAACTTGTTACAACGAGCTCTATACCCTCCAAAATTATGCGCATTTCTAAACACTTTGTCAAAGATTGTCAATCACGTTTATTAGACAACTGGTAAACTGTAAAATTTGGTTGCATAAAATATTAATGTTAACATCCCTTTTTAAAAAATACTAATTTGAACATTATAATAAAAGAAGCCTTTGAGTCAAATGTTAGGTTAAGGGAGGACGATAACAGGATTTACAGCACATCTGCTCTTGAAGCTTTTAAGAGACAGACTACCCTGCTGTTGTATTTCCACTTGCAGCGCTGTAAGAACTGCTTTCCTTTCAAATATTGATGATGCTTCAATTATTTTAACAGGCAATCATGCTCACTCCGACAGCAACTGAGCACATCTGAGAAACACTCTAGCATTGAACAGTGGAAGACGACCAAGTAATAGAGGAATAATTATTCAAGACTTTTTATAGAGAAAAGATACCACCCACTCAAATACTTTCTCCAGTAACATTGTCAGTAAAAATAGTGTTGAGAATTTGTGAATTTAATTCAGCCCTGTACATGTTAATAATTTGTTCGCTGTTAACACAGGTATATAATGCGCTGAATACAATATACCGCAATATGAGTCACCATTTTCAGCGCAGTACAATTTGAAATAATAGCAACTTTTTATGCTGCTGTGAAGAACTGGTGACTCATGTGTCTATTCATACAACTTAATGCTTATGGTAGTTAGGAGAAACCTAACAGGACTGATTCTTACACTGCAGGCTTAGACTGAGACCATCAAACATAAGCTTGGGCAGGATGTGCAAAATAGATATGAGAGGCCAAAGCCTTAGGAGAGTTGGGAGGAATTTTGAATACTTCTAGGGGTGAAATCTTCCTTGTTGGCAATATACTGTAGGAAACACAGAAGTGTGAAGGAGTGGCTGACTTTGGTCACAGGTAAAAAGATCTGAAGAAAGCTCTCATAGCATACCTTTACATTCATGCAATTTGTCATATTCAAAAATAAGATCTTAACAGTTGTATAAAACCTAAAAAGTCCCACAGAAACTATAGTCTTCACCTGAAGATGTTAGTGTTGTCAAAACCTCACAACTGAAGAGGGTTGTGTATAATCTCTCTAAGTGTAAAAAAGGCACCTGCACAAGAAAGTGAAGCGTGATGCCTGATGATTGGTTAAAATGGTTAAAGATTTGTTTGAAATGAAAGCACGGATTTCGTACATGTTAATTCTACTCATTTTATCTTTTTTTAATACTTGACACCAGTAATTTATTAAAACTGCTCAATCTCAGGAACAAGCAGTGAAAAGTGAAGACACATCTGGACAGTGAAGTGAAATATGTTATTCTTGCTGTGTACAAATGAAATCTGTATTTAAGATCAGATTATTAAAATTATTGAAAAGTGTTGATTTTCACCCTTTGGTTTCTGGGTATCATTTTGCATACATTTTTAGCTACGTTAGAACAATGTCATTTGACATTTAACTTAAAGTAGTCCCGCACAACGTCGCATTGGTTAGCATTGCTGCCTCTCAGGGCTGGACCCTGGGTTCAATTTTAGATCTGGGGTGCTGTCTGGAGTTTGTTTGTTCTCCCTGTATTCACTTGAGCTTCCTCCATGTTTACCAGTTTCCTTCCACAGTCCAAAGGCATACTGGCAGGTTAATATGCTGGGTAAATTGGTCCTGAGTTCTTGACTTTGTGTCTTTCTTTGTGCAGTGCAAAAGTCTGCAATAGTCCAGGGTGTACCCCAGCTTGCACCTGTTGCTTGCCAGGATAGGTTCCGGCTCCCTTGCATCCCTGAATTTGAAAACATGGTTAAAAAATAGATGGTTGGATAACTTAAAGTTAATTAACCTGTGTAATTTGGTTAAGCGTAAGTGTAAAGTTGCATACCACTTGTATGCAAGGACTGCTTCAGATCAACATCACTGGACTCTGGATATGTTGCTTTGAGATGCTTCGCCAAGCCTGCAGCCACTTTCAGTTGTTCAATTTTCTGACTTTAGTTTCCTCTTCAACATGTAAAATGCATGCTCAATAGGATCATATCAGGAGATTGGCTTGTCCAGTTCAAAAAACGCATGCTCTTAGTGGCATGTTCTCAAAATTAACTAAATATGATAAAACGATATTAAGCTACTTGAAATATCACTAGGTAACCTTTTATGTGTTGTTCAGTGTGAGAGGGCAGTTAGAAAAGCTACTGCTGCAGTAGTGAGTACTGTTTTAGCCTTGAACTTACTGTACATTCACAGTGCAGTGGTTAATGAGGAATTGTTTATAAAGGCCTCAATTGCAGTCATTTCATAAAGCTCTTATCAGACTTTTCATTTCATTGGTTCATTTGCTATTATTCAGCGAATTAGCTAAACAAACGGCCAGTTTATATTAAAACTGTCAAAATACAGTATGTTACTGTACGTACAGTAAGTGTTTATTCTCCAAAGAGATAACAAGTGGTATTAATATTATTGACATTATTAACAGGCTACAGCAAACGTGCTAAGTGAGAGGTGTTTTAAAGGAACAATAACAACTAAAGGAAGAGATATTGAAAGGAAAGAGAATAAAAGAAGGTAGGACAACTTGCTTGCTATTTTTGTAACTGTTGCCAAAATGGGCTCTCTGCATGCAGGCATCACAATTGCTTTGATGCAGAATTCCCCAAATAGTGCGAACAAGATAAGGACCCGATAAAATGACACATTAGCAATGAAATAAGACACGTAATCCAGTGTGAAAAGTACTTCAGCAAGTCAAGTCATCCCCACCCTTGTTTTAATTCAAACCTACTTCTATGCAAATGCATACGATTTAGGAACAGAAAATACTGCAAATGAGAATTAGCTATTCATTTTACATGTTTGACAGTATAGATTCAAAGATGTCACCCAGCCTTTTTCTTTTTAAGAATTCCAGGGAATCCTTCCACCATATTCTTCACAACAACAATTCTTTGTATAAGTAAATGTCTTTTGCTTTATTACCTAGATGCACATCCTCTTTCCCTCCACTTGTAGCTTTGGGTTTTTTGTGAAACAGTTCTCTGGTTTGCAATTGCCAATGCCTTTTAGGATTTCAAATACCAGTTTCAGGTTCCCTGCAATCCATTCTGTTCACACTAAATCCACTTTTTTCATACTAAACACACTGGTGAAACTCTTGGTATTGCAGCTGGTACAGTCCTTACCATACACTACATATCCTACATATCTAAGTATCACCCTGCGGTCCATGTGGGTCCTAATGCCCCAGTATAGTGATGGAGAC